AAGCTCACGCTCTACTGCACAGATTTATAATCCTTCAGATCTATTCTAATTATCCTACTTTATTTTTGCCGAGAATGTATCACAGATTTTGTACATGTTAAATCTGCAACTTGTTCGAGATAGGCTTGAAGTTCTGAACCGCTTACACTCCTGACTTACAAACATTTTATACACAACACTCAAATTCATTTATAATCTACATCACCATCGAACTGAACACCAAAAAAATATCTCCATGGCTGCCATATTACTATGCCTTCAATAATCCACACGCATCTAGGTTTTTTGAAGATCTATCATCCTCTATTATTTCTGGATCCTAGCCTATACAGCACCAGTGCACTCCCATCTAACAAGTTCAAGCATCTGCAAGCCATCCTGTTACTAATGAATGTAAAAACAAAAATTCATTTGAGTACCTGTCATTCATATTAAGTTCCATCAAAATCAGTGAACTGGAGGGATACACAGAGAGCACGAGTCTCATAAAACACTCGCTTTTAAAAAAATTAAAATAAGCTAAAAATTATAGTTCTAAGTCGTCCGTCATAAAGGTTTTCTTCTGCAACTGATAGTAATTTCAAGACCCCACCTTCTTCTCATTCCAAATAACCCAATTAATCATACAAAATCACGCCCTCCAAACTGTTTTACATCTGCATCTTCACAACCCACAAGAAACATTACAACATCTAAAGTTCTCAAGGAGTGAGTCCTTAGGTTAAGTCATCTTGGATGTGAAGATACACAGCCTACTACACAGTGCTAATGATTTTGAGGGACCTGATGCCTCCATCTTCAGGACAGATATTACTCTTAAAGATGTAAACAGTAGATTTCTATTAAATGTTGTACATATCTATCAAACTACATGGAATCACAAACTATAATGTCATAATCTGACAGAAATTGCACTGATCTTTCTAAAAAAAAAAAATACTTTTTACCCACATCTGGAAGACCAGTGGTATGAACCAATGATTATACTTTCTCTAAAATACCTTGGGACGAGAGTAACTTTAATGATCCAATTACAGGCTCATCAGCCAAAGTTACATACCAATGCATGCAGTCAAAGGGGCAGACAAAAAGTGAGTTCCTGCGTTACCAGTAACAAGATCTCATCAATGCACTAATGACAAAATAAAATGGGGAACCGCATGAAGTAAGAATGTGATATTTCTTGTGCCCCACAAGGAAAGGGGTGAGCATTATTCATAGGGGGCATTACACAAGAGTAAATATCCCATGGCTGAGTAACCAACAAATTACAATGGTTCACCACAGTGCTATTACCATGAAAGGAGATTAATAGCAGCAGCTGCTGATATTGATAACACAGAGTTTCCTAACTTTGTTGACCGGCTCATGGGTGTGCACTTCACAGTGACCAGTGCACTGCTTGCTGCAAGGCACATACGAATTCTGTTGAATCAGCATGCCTGATGGCCAATATTGTTTGGAATGAAGGGAAGTAATTAACTTGTGGACTGCTCAATGGCAAATTGTATAAGAGCGTGCAGTGCAGTGCAGTGCAGTGCAGTTCATGCTTGGGAGTTTATCATGTCAGCAGTATGTAGCAATTATCAGCTATGGTTAGTGAGCAATGTGGTACGTCATGGTGTGGTATACTTCAGGGCAATGTGTATTTCTGTATTAAACCTACGTGAAATACGGATCTGCTAGAAAGTGTCAGCAAAATATTTTGACATAAATTTCATGTTGAAAGAGTTCCCCGCACACAAACTATTCACAATTTGCTGACTAAACTCAGAACAATGGAACTCTCAATAGCTTAAGAAACAAAAAACATAAGCACCTAGTGCTTACTAAGAAGTTAGATGACAAAGAGGCTAGACTTGAACACACATCTACAAAATCACTGAAACATCTAGCTCAAAAGACTGGAGTGTCAAAGTGTAGTGCGATAACAGTAACACAACTGCTGAAGCTTACAGCCTATGAAACAACAGTAATCCATGCACATCTTGCAGTCACGCAATCCACCTAGCAGGTTCATTTTTTCATTTGGTTTCTACAGTCTTGTCATCGAAGATGAGATCGATCGACAATTGACAATCTTTTCTGATAAAACGTGGTTTTACTTGCAGGGATACATAAATATGCAAAATAATCACTACTGCAGTCCACAGAATCCACATTTAACCCACAAAGTCCCACTCTGTCCACTGAAAGTTGGTGTCTGGTGCTGTTACGTGCAATTTCAATGACTCCTGTGATCTATGAATTGTAACTACTTCATTCCAAACGTTATCAACCGTCAGGCATGCTGATTCATTGGAAAAATTTGTATGCACCTCACATCCGTGGTGCACTGGTCACCCTGAAGCGTAGAGCAGTGGAACTGGTCAACAAAGCAAAAATCCTCCGTCTAGTAGTAATTTTAAATTCCTGGCTGGATAAAGAATTACAAACCTCCTATAGAATATACGTCTGCCGTAAAATTCAAATTAGCTGCAACATTTACACTAGAAAAATGCTCATCTCAATGCAGTTCCTTGATAATGCAATGTTGTTACATTTCAACTCACCCAAAATACTCATTCACTAAAATCCAATAAAATTAACATTTTAAGATCAAAGGCTCATTTTACAAACAAAATATAACCTATACGTGTTCTGAAAGTGAATGTTTAGAACAGCGTATTACATACTGAAAAAGCACAAATTCCATCTTACATGTTCATTACAAAGTACCACTAACATACCCAGGTCCATCGTGAAAATTGCCCATCATTAATCAAACCAACAGAAGACAGACCAATCTGTACTGCAAATAGAGAATTTAAAGCTACTGCACCTTTTTGTATGCCCACATACAAACTGGGAAACAAAACACTGCATACTGTATGAGGAATATACTTGACCACTAGCCATAGGTATTTCAAAACATTGGTTTAGAGGAGATATGTAACTCTTCTCAAGCATTAATCTTAATTACTATGTTTCATAATTAACTAAAAAAAATTCCTCTGTATTACACACTTCATAAATTACCACATGTTAATAATACATAATTATGTAGTGATATACACATACATTCTGGAACTTTAAATGTTGTCACATTCACTGCAACAACATTTCTGTCTACTAAGCACTTGAAATCCATTGCAAAATATTACTGAACACTTCATCTCATATGAAGTGACATTCCATAATGAAAGATAATGACTACCGAGTGTTCCAGAAAAGTACAGAGCGTTTTCAATGAACCTGACATGTTCATGGCTCTGTGCTTCACCGTTACTGGCGCACTGCCGGCCGCAACGCACACGCGAATTTTACTGATGAATCAGCATGCCAATAATATTTGGAATGAAAGCAAGTTCTTGCCTTCACAGTTCACAGGTGCTGAAAACGTTATCCTTCTACACATAAATATTTTTCGCAATTGATTGTTTCGTTAAAGAACACATGAACAACAATCCTTCTTGCACTTACAGCACACTAGGCACAAACTTTCACTGGATGGTTTCAGCAGTTTTGCTGCCATTGTTACATTAGACTTTGACACTCCAATATCTTGAGCTAGGCGCTTCAATGATTTTATAGGTGTATGTTCAAGTTTGGCCCTTATGTCATCTAACTTCTCCTCACTAAGCATTCAATGGTTGTTTTGTTTTCTTGTCTAATAAGCATCCCGTTGTTCTAAATTTATTCGCCACATTATGAACTGCTTGTCTGCTGGGAACTCTTTCATCACAAAATTTACATCAAAATTTTTGCCAACACTTTCCAGCAGATCCAAATTTCACATAGATGTCATATAGAAATATGCCTTGCTCTAAAGTATAGCGAACCATATCGTGCCACACTCCTGACTAACTGTTAACTGCGAACAACTGACTCATAGTGCTGTTTACAACTGCCTACTGCTCACAAATCATTAACCAACTCCCATTGCTTACTGCTCACAAATCATTAACAAACTCCCATAAATGAACCCTACTGCCCTCTACGTAACATAACATTGTGTAGAGGTCTACAAATTAATTATTTTCCTTTATTCCATATGTTATCAGACGTCAAGCGTGCCAAGTCATCAGCAAAAATCATGTGCACTTTGCAGCTGGCAATACACTGGTAGGAGTGAGGGAAAGAGCCATGAACACATCTAGTTACTAAATATATTCCCCTGTATATTTTAATGTCCTCTGATCCCACTATTTCCCATGACAGAAAAGAAACAAGTAATTTTCTTCACAAATTATAGAACTTCACAAGTAACATACCTATGAAAGCTTAGTCATTTCAAATTTCATCAACATTTATATCTGAAAAATGGAAGCTTTAAGAGCATCTTGGAAGTTTAGAGATGTATCCTGACCTTCCCTGGGTAATGTACGTCACACAAACTTTCCAGTTTATTAATTTAGAACACTACTGACAAGTCTGAGACATGCAGTTTCCTGTTTTTCAATTCCCACCACTTTTCAACCATGTGATATTCTTGTACGGATTCAAATGTTCTCCTTAGCACTTTTAAATTTCATTTTCGTCTAACATAATAAAATGCCAAAAGACCCACAGAAAACTATGGACAAAAGAATTATATACATTTACGTCTACTGCAACACCTAATGTAATTTTTAAACTCAAATAACTGATGCAACATTAAACAGAACACTAATAGTCCCACTGAAAGCAGCACTATGATAAAATTACTGTCCATGCAAAACGCAACTAGCAAATATCCACATTCACATATATCAAGAACACAGGATCTTCATCCAGATTTCAGTCGCACAAGCGTATCAGCAGTTCACTCTCTTATACTTGCCCAGTAATTTTCGTGTTATTTCAACACAAATTATAACTCATCTATGTAAAACGTACTTGACAAAAACAGAATACACTCTGGACGGAATATATGACCATCACTGGAACATCTCATCATGGTTCAGAACAGCTTCCCTGCAAAAAGAATCACCATCACCAACTGACACTTCTGACGCTGCTGCTGCCACTTCCAGTCTTACCTCTTCATATTTCTTATCTGCCTCCTCAGCTATAAGTTTAGCTTGAGACAGTTGTGCTTCAAGGATTGCTACACGATCATCTTCCATATTGGTACGATTCTCCAATGCCTTCCGTATCCTACAAGCACAATGGATGTTGTTATCATCTACTCTTACATACTTCGCAAAGCCCAGTTTCAGATCCTCTATACACTGTAGGTACTTTCAGATTCTTTGGCCAAGGAAATAAAAGTTAGATTAAGTTAAATGGGGGTTTCACTCTACTATTTGGTGCCATTTACACATCCCTCAAATAACGGGAGGGGTGGAGTAAGTCCGCATTTATTTCATTTTGGTGTGTATTGAGGCTGTAAACATTACACTGCTTTGCCAAAAAAAAAATATGAAAAAATTTATTTGCACCTCTTACTTCAATGCCACTATTTCTATCCTCCTACCAGTTATACCAGGAATGGAACAGAAAAGCACATTAAATTAAGCTGGGTATCTAGACATCCTGCACATCGAGGTCTCATTTCGTGGTACAGACCAGATGCTAGTATGATTCATTAAAGTAGAAAAATTCGCCAAACTCAGCATGTCAACAGTTACTGTAAAATCATAAACATAATAGCAAACTTACATTAAACCTAAACTCTCTGAGAATTATTGAAAATAAAGCCAGTGTTTGTGCTCATCACCTGCCTCAGTCCAGTGCTGAGGTTAAGAATGGGCCTAGCTTTACTTCCACTCCCCCATGCATCACAATGATGTGGTGGGCAAGGATAACTTTACCTTTGTCTTACCATCTTGTTTCCTGACACAGAGATGTGATGCAACTGTTCCTATTAACACTTCAGGCAGATTTGACATATTTTTTTTTTTTCCCCAAGACTGTACTAGCACAGAATAAGTAGCTTCAGAGACAAACATTTACAAAAAAAAAATCTACAACTTATGCAATAACTGACAATCAGATACTATTTTGAGTTAATAAAATTAACTTTGGAAAGTTTACATTTCAAGAAATCTTATTCCAGATGGTGAATTCTTAACTGTGCTATTCCATACTTGTTTGTGCCTCTGATTGCCACTACATTTCAAACATCAATACCAATTACATGAATTTCAGGATCTTTGAAGTCCTTCTACAATCTACTTCCATATTATATGCTTATGTCTGCTGGAGTTTAATAAATCAACAATGATCACTTCTCATTCTGCTTCCTTTGAAAGTTCACAGTCTTCCTTAAAAGCATTTACATGTTAAATAGATGGCAAACTAATAAAGGTACACCTTAACTAACAACACAGAAGAGACAGTTTTAAATTATATGCAGGGAAAAGTGCAACCAAATAATGAAATTGGGTAATCTGAGTGAAAATTCAAGTTTCTTTCTAAATAGCAGGCTTTGATCCACTTACGGAAAACTTCACACAGACATCCTTGAACCTCATATTCTGTCATATGCACTGTCCTCAATGTGAATCAACACATTTCTAAACCTTAATGCTATGTTATCTTTCAATATTACCTTCAGTTAGAATTGTCCTACTGAGTTGCAACTGCACAAGCAAGGTTCTAAATGTGAAAAGCATTTATATACCTCAGAATTTTCAACTGTCATGCATTCAATTCCACACCCTGGTGGACACACCTACAATTATTCCAGCCCAGAATTTGAAAACAAGATCACATTAAAAAATAAATTTCACCAGTGTGACTTATATATGTGCTCCCCACCTCCAATAAAAGTTAGAAAAAGACCATCGACAATTGTAGAAACATTATTACTGTGGTATATGCCAACAAGAAAATTGTAACTAAACTGGTTTACCTGAAGTCATTCATGTGCATTTCAATTCTGTTAAAATCAGTGAAAGTAAGCTCCTGCTTTGTGTAATAACATCAAGGAAAGTTCCCATTATGGCAATAAATCCAAAAATGAAAATTGAAAATTCACATTTGTCATTAAACGTGTTCATCTAAAAAACTAACAAGAATATATTCCTGATTCCCAACACATTACATCCCCTTTCAACACGTAAGGCTCTACATGACCTATCTGTTCTTAAAATAAATTAATTCAACAGTGACCTTTCAGAAGCAACCCTTGTACAGGAAGTTCAACAATAAAAAAAACTGAGACTTTCATTTTACAAAACATGATGGGTATTGAAGACAAAGCAGGATAAAGCATCTGTTAATCAGTTTGCTTCATACCAAACAGCAATACAAGCATATACCAGAATATGAGCATGATCACTCCAACTTGATGAATAAGACAACATACCGCTCAGACTCGTCAGCAGCCTGTGAAGCCTCTGCCAGTTTTGCTGTAGCAGTGGCCAATCTCTCCTCAGACCTCTCCAGGTCTTCTTCCAACAGCTGGATGCGACGGTTCAGGGCAGCAACTTCACTCTCAGCCTGCACATCACATACATACATACACATCAATATTTTCCACACAGTAGGGTTCAACATATCTCAACTAGCTAAACAGAACTTCTTATACACTTTGTAACTGGAAGGTTAGTGTCTTTAGGATTTGTTCACTCATCTGTACAATCCTGTTTTGACATATGTTCAATACTCATTAGAAACAGGTTCAGTAAACCCCCACTGAAAGTTTCTCAGGTGAGCAATTGATCTCAACATAAATTAGGAAAATCTTAAATGGGAGAAATCTAACAATGAATTTGGCTTGGGGTCATTAAATTTAACTTTAAATGACAAAAAATGTTAAATCTGGAGACATTAAATGGGGATTTTACTGAACTGGAAACCAAATGCTTTAACAAGATAAAATTTGTCCGACCAATCAGGCACACATACATACAGACAAACAGCATACCAGAAACCACCTTTCTTGTTAAACAAAGGGGGCTGGAATATATGAAAATTAATCCAAATTTTGAGGCTTTTTTCTCCTCATAAAAAAAAATTAAGACATGGGCATTTCTAACATGAAACATTATGCTGCTTCGAATATTGTTTTTGGGCATTATCCATCATCCTGTGTTTACCTAAGAACACAGTCCTGTTTATTTTTCAAAACACATTTCAGAGACTGGATTCTGTCTACATTTCAGGTAAAATTTGGGCCCAATCAGTAGAGCTAGTCCCTATTTCCGGACACCTCTGCCAGTTCCAAGATGGGGTATACAAGCTAAACATAGCACAAACCATCTTTTTTTTTATTTTATTTATTTATTAAGCAATCAGAATCTACAATTCTATAAGCTAGTTTGCTGGCGTAAGAGCTGTGATGCTCTTTAAAGACGTGACGTGTCCCTTCACCAGTGGGAGGTTCCTCTTAGTTTTCTTTAAGGTCAGCTGGCCAGTATCTTCAGAGTCTTCGATTGTGCTGCGGTTCAAGGGTGGCTGCAGTATGTTGTTTGGGTGATTTGCTAGTTTGTTGTGGTGTGTGGTACTTTTTTCTCTGATGACATCTTTGATATATGGTATATTTAGATCTGTATGTAACGTTTGGTTGTTTACATACCAGGGTGCATTTGTTATAATTCGAAGTATTTTTGACTGGCTTCTCTGGATTATTGATATATTTGATTTGCTGGCACAACCCCAGAGCTCAATTCCGTAAGCCCCGATTGGTCTGATTATTGTCTTATAAAGCAGGACTTTGTTTTCTATAGATAGGTTGGATCTTCTTCCAATTAACCAGTTTAGCTCCTTGGTCTTTAAGTCTATCTGTTTGCATTTTTTGATTACGTGGTCTTTCCAAGTGAGCCTACTATCCATATATATTCCGAGATAATGCTCTCGCCTTAGCGTGAAATTCACTTCGACAGTTTTAGTCTCGTTTATTTTAATTTTCCATTTGTGTAGCCATGCTTGTATTTGGTTTAAGTGGTTTTGTAGGATACTGGTGGCCTTTGCTGGATCTGCATGGGTTGCTAGGATGGCTGTATCATCTGCGAAGGTTCCTGTGGTGGTATCATCATCCGTTGGTAGGTCCGCTGTATACAAACCATCTTGTATACCCCACTATAATAACCATTCAAGAAGATTTTTTTTCTTTCCTGTGCATAAACCCAGTACCCTAAAGTTATTAGTTTTGTGTAAATCACCTGCCACAGGATACAGCCAAATATAAAAACGCAGTGCACTGCTAACAATGTAGGTCTTTAAAATCAAATGTTTTCAGTCATTATATACAGTACCACCCTGAATATGAGGCAAAGTATTTTTTTTTTCAAATACAGCTTCTTTGGATAGAGGACTTGTCTTCTTTCAGATCCTTATGAATAAATTTGATTGAGAGTCCTAATTCCTAATCACAATAATATTTGTGAAAATACCCAGAACTATATTTTACTTAAATTTTTAATTAATTATTTCTTAATTGTTAGTCTTTTCTGCATACAAACCTCAAAACTACTTCATGTTCAATTTTGTCAAAAATCTTTTTTCCACGATTTTCTCATCGGAAAACGGTGTTGTCTTACATTCAGGCTCATAGAGTGCTCTTCAATCTAACGAGGCAATGAAACAGCAACATTCGCACTTTACACATGTCCGGTTCCGGCTTCTGATTCCAATGAAACTTGGATGCTGCAGAGGCCGCGCCATAGCTCAAGCGGTTAGTCGCTGGCTTCTCACCGCGGCGGCCCGGGTTCGATCCCAGGTCTGGTCAAGTGGGATTTGTGGTGGACAAAGTGGCGCTGGGGCGGATTTTCTCCGAGTACTTCGGTTTCCCCTGCCAATCTTCATTCCACTAAATTCTCCATCATCATAATCACCCAGGGCAGGTACAATAGCCCAATCAGTTGCCGATGTGCCGAGTGGACCTGGCTGGAATCCACCCCCCACTAGCGAATTTAATTTAATTAGATTCTACAGATGAATTTTTGAAGAGCTGTTAATACAACCATTCTGCTCATCATTTTGACTCATTAAGAGGCACAAACAAGTACAGCTTATTCCACCCAATTTAACACATAATGGTTAACCCCATACTTCCATAACAATCTATCAAACAAGACACAACACCAGCTTTAAAGTGGAGACATATGAAGTTTTAATCACAGCATCCCACATACAAAGCACCCACTTCTAATGCTTGGTGACTGCCAGATGTTAATTCAGCAGTGACTCATTTCTATATTCATATGCCTGTTAAGAAAGAGTCTTTCATGAATGTATTTTCATTTCAGTTTTCGAACCGACTACAACGACCTACAACTACAGCTGACAGTGTCCATTTTAACTATGTTCACCCAGCTAACATTTCAAAAAAGCAAGTATTTCTTTCGTGGTTCAGTGGTACTTCACATATTGGCAGGAGAGGCGATCAGATAATGTGTCATCTCCCCAATACAGTTGTTACTTATTCTCGCTCCCTTAGGGCTGAACAAGTAGTTGGAGTGCAGGCCTAACGGGAGGAGAGAGTGCATGACATTCCAACCTAACATGTTGGCCAAGAAGGAAGAGTTCAAGATACTCCGAGTGCTTGTGCGCTCACACGGCCAACACTTTTGCAAAAAGTCGAACTCAACCACTGATTCACAGCTTTTTCTTGAGAAGCTCACTGGACGTAACTACCCAGTTACTCAGAAAATTCTTCCCATGTCATGAGGCCCTAAGGTTCACAACAGGCTGCCCTGAGCCTAAAAGGGCGGACAAAGGAATCGGTAGCGCCGTACTTACTTTGCAAGCAGGTCACTTCCGAGAAGTAAAACCGATATCAGGGGAAACGGAAGCGTCGACAGGAAACTAAGACGCGCGTGTACCACAACGGTTAAACCGCAGTTTGTATGAAGGCGGCGTATTTCGAAAGAGGGGAGGCACGGATGTCTTACAGAAAAAGTAACTGCATTACTTAGTAACATGTTCACTATTCATTATTACTACCGCTAAAGGTAAAGTTGTCCACTCCTCCATACGCCATGAAGGCGTATGGAGGAGTGGACGTATACATCCATTTTCTTCACCTCGGCACTAGCTGGAGGTGAGCTGCCAGCTTCACGTCCTGGCAGCTTTACCCCCGGTATCCATTGGATATAAGGTTGGGTGGACCCCAGAGCCGGTGTGGACGACGTGGAGAAAACAAAATTCGTTACCTTACCGGGACTCGAACTCCGACCCCTAGGTCGTCCAGCCCGTAATTAGTCGCCATACTGATTACTACTACTACTACTACTACTACTACTACTACTACTACCACCACCACCACGCCCACGACCACCACCCTTAAATTAAAACAGGTGCTGAGCTTTTTCAAACTGCCTATTATTAGCAATTCCAAAAGTGCAACAATTTTAGGCAACAGGATTTATTTTATGCATCCATGGAGAAAAGATGCGGAAACACAAAACTAAGGCATTGGGTGTACATAATTTGGTACGGTCTAAATTCACTGGGACGACACAGAGCGTCGTATCCCTTCAGTAAAATCAAGATGAAATACAGTCAGAATCCCTTAATTAAATTAAACTGGACTGGTACGAAATTCCCATCATTCGACCAACATAAGCTGCTGCACGCTGCGCCGTAGCAATTTACTTCAGTGTCGAAGTCTCTCCTTGCAAGTTGACTGTTCCATTACAGCGCCCAACTCTTACATGAGGTTTCGTACGCGCTTGTTTTAGTTCTTGTCCATGTTTTGTCAAAAGCCGTTCAAGGCTCGACCAAGGTCAATCTCGCTATTCGCTTACTTTCGCTGTCTGTGTAAGCGCTAACGCAGCCAGGACAAGAATATCACACATTCCAGACGGTCGAAAAACCGCACTCAAACGCTGATTCATGTTACTATCTCGAACTAATATCGGGAAAATGGCTCGATAAACCAATCTTTCTCCCCCGAACAGATTGGCTCACGATAGGCGCGGCACACTTGCCACCTTACCAAGCTCAGTTCTGGGTCGAGGACCAGAAAAGCTCAGTCGGTACTGCGAAGTGCTGGACGGCCAGCGTTCGACTCCCGTCAGGGTAAGAGATCTTTTTACACTCCAGAGTCCAGACAGGCTCTGGGTCCCAACCGGCATTCTATCCAATCTTGCAGCGCTGCATCCTGTTTGTGGTGCCTAACTAGTGGGGTTGCCGTAACACACACAAACGTTTTTTATTGTTCAATTCACATCAAACATTACTTCAAGTATAGATATACAATGGCTGGCTTAGTTCACTAACCGACTAAATGCACCACGCACAGGTATTGTATAAATAGAAACGAAAAATCAGATACTTAAAAACACCATTTTCAATCTAGTCTTCACTTAACTTGTCATAAGCGAGGGGTCCAATGTATTCTTTCGGACCCTTCGAAAATGTGCATGTTGTGCACGATGGAAGGGAAATGCGATACGCGTTAAAAGCACGTAAACTGTACAAAATCTTACGTTATACCGTTTCATATTAAAACGTGCACCTGCCCTATCTACGAAAATGAATAAACTGGCAAATAT